TTTCCAGTCCTGCTCTTGGATGCAGACCAGACTCAGAGGAAGGTAAAACCTCTTCATTTTATGTTATTCCTCACTTAGTTAATTTCATATTCTCCCTAATGGGTGGGAAGAGGATATTTGATGGGTGAGATTTATTTGAGAAAGCAAAACTGAGAGCGGCAAATGCATGAGCCAGTACCCCTCTGGACGGTGAGGTCCAGAGGGGAGGTGCATGGCTGCTCCCGCTCACCCCTGCACCCCATACCAGCACAGTGCATGGCTGAGCTCACAGGATGAGCTCAATAAATACTTGTGGCATAAATGAATAAATCAATGGTAGTTGTTTGGGTTTCAATATAAATGGATCCTGGGCCTGAAATATTGCCAGATGGGCTGACAGGGTACAGTCTGGTGATGTATCTCCAAGGCTATAAAAATGCAGCCATTTCTGCAGTCACAGGCTGACATTTCAGAAGATGATTATATGCACAATTTAACCACATGGCTGTTCATGCCCTCCAAGTGCCATCGCTCCAACAACTGTTCTCATGTTGGCTTTCTTGTTCATTTCTTCTTTTTTTAAGTCAAGCACAATTCTGCCCCACCCCCAGCTCCTCATATTTCTAGGTGAACATGATTTATTCATATGAAATTAGGCTCCATTTTTATAAAACCCAAGTTACTGCAAATGATGCTTGAGGTTTCACAGCAAATATGAATTCCTGATCGGCTGCAATAAAGCATCTCTGCTCGCTCTGCAGAGGTTCTGTCTCTCTGAGACAGATGGAGGCAGTCCAAGGGGATGATTAACTTCTGAGTCCTCACAATGTCCTCATGCTCATCTTGCCCTAGATTTCAAGATTGACCTCCAGCTTCTCTGCAAATGCACAGTTGCTCAGCTTGATAAATCATAGAGATTCTTTTCTTTTTTTTTTTTTTATCACAGTTATCTGCTATTTACTACTTAGGAAGGGAAGTTAATCATATCCAGAGGCACTTCATGTGCTGCACACACATCCTTCCCTGTCCTCCAGCACTCTGCATATTTTCTACATTCCTGGCAATACAGCACTTTCCCAGTGCAGTGTGGCTACACTAGACACACCTTTATAAGTAAGCCTCAGGCCCATGTATCCCTGTTTTCCTCTGCCTCTCTCTACCCCGCCCAACACAATCATCCATAAGAAGAACAGATGCTTGAGAGGCACAGTGTAAGGAGTAAGTAGAAAGCAGTGTCCCTTTGCAAACTGAGGTTTTCTTGTAACTGGCTTGTTTACCATATTGAGAATTTTGTTTCCCTCTTCTCACCCGGGTCCCCTGATTCTTTTCATTATTTGGGGCATAACTGGGTATCTCGTATGCCAGCTGACACTCAATGGCATAAAACAGATGAAACATTCTAAAGCTGATAGTAGGAAAGAATGAAAAGCAGGCCATTCCACCTCCATGTGACCCTTCTGGTTGCTGCAGGATGGCAAGTGGGATGGGCTGAAGCCCAGAATTGCCTTGCCACTGGATTCCGTGTTGACCTGTGGACACTCTAGCTGTTTTGGCTGAATCATAAATGAAGCCCATCCAGACAAAAAATCAAGTAAGGCCAAAGGTTTTCTTTGGGGTTGACCACAGATGATTTTTAAATTTAGGTAATGAAATATATCCTAGTTTTAATTTATCAAGGCTGTGTATTGATTATTATGGACTCACTAAACTTTAAAGCATACAGTGTTAACCGCCAGACACTAAATTTCTCCTAGAATGACTATTTAAACCAGGAAACTGGAGAAGGAAAAAGACAGACAACATTGGCCTTCAGAAGACATCTGGATAGTCTCTCCCCTCTGACACCTCGAACGGATGAGCTTTCTACGGTCTTCAGAAAGGAAAGGAAAAGCACCCCCCCCTTTGCCTTATAACTTGTCTCATTAGGTGCGGTCTCGGAGACTTGAAGGCAGAGAACAACAACAGGATTTCTGTGCTGTAAACTCACAACCCCCACACCCCCAGTCAAACAAATCCGATTTTACCATCAAGTTGCACATCTTGAAACAAAACCGCTCTAACTCCTGTATCAAATGTCCTTGTGTCCACCAGGTACTCCAGGCAGTTACACGGCTAAATGGAAGTGAGACGGGCCCACAGCCGAGCACACTAGCAGGATGCTGAAACCAGGAGCCTGTGCTGGCGTGACTTCAGCCAACTGGGCTGTTCTGCTCAACACCAGAGGGAGCACCTGTTAACACTAAAAACTCTTCTATGTTTCTAGGATTAAAGTGAAAAAGCTGCCTATGGAATTTTATATCAAGAGCTATAACACATTGAAAACTAATAGTTCAGAAACTAGAACAGTTTGTGGAAAGGAATGTACAGTAGATGAATACCAGGCTACAGGCAGCCAGAGATACTGGGGTTAGATCTTCACCTTGGGTGGGTCAGAACCTGAAGTGAATTTTTACTCAGTTCCATTCCCACCCTGAGGCAGTTCCTCCGACAGACAGAATATTAAGCAAGTCATGCAGTGGTCTGACTTGGAGTCATGCAAATCACTTTCTGGAAAATACCAGTTTATTCAACAGACTAAGTAAGATGATAGAAAATGACTTCTGTCCTTTGATAAGTTAACATTCTCTAAGTTAAGAAACTAGAAAAATGTAAATTCAATGAATTCAGTAGATGTTTCAAGTCCTTATTCTGAAGGAGGGATTTAAATTGTACCTCCAGATGACTACAGATGCTTTGCACTTATGGAATTTATTCATATGGCAAAACGGAACAGGAAAAACACAGAGAAGACTGCGCTACACCGCCACGTTGCTAGAACAGCAGACAGAGTCATCTCATTACTTTGAAGTTAGCCGACTTCTCCCAATTTTGAACAGAAAAACTGTTACATTTAAGGGGAGAGGGAAATGCTTTACTATATCTAAAGGCAGAGAAATTCATAACAGTAATGGCAACAGGAGCCCCTGCCTCTCCGTCTCCAGGGGATGGACCTTTTTTCTCAGAGTGTTCTTCACTTCGCAGGGGCTGAGATGCTAGCTTACTAGTTGTTAACTATTGGGCTTGACCAGGGAGGAATTGGAGAGAATATCAGAACAAAGTCGAAGGGAACATTGTTGCTCACCATGAAAATCCATGCACCACTTTCTGTACAGGACAGGGCCATGTATCTTTTGGGAAGAAGCCTCAGAATGTATCTATCACTCCTGGTTTCTGATTTCTGATTGTACTTTGCAGCCCGGTCTTCAAAGGGAGTCCATACTTTCCTCAAATAGGTTTTGATTCATTACACCAGAGGTCATGCCGACACTTTGCATCTATATATGTTGTTTTATTGAAATATAATTTATACAGCATAAAGTTTACCCATTTAAAGTATGAGATTCAATGAGTTTTAGCATATTTATAAAGTTTGGAAACCATTGCCACAATCTAATTTCACAACATTTTCAATACCCTGAGAAGAAACCTTGTAACCACTGGCAATGGTGTAACATCGTTAACTGAGGGCTTTCTTTTGCTTCTCAGTGCATTTTGTTGAAGGAATCACTTATTTAAGAAACCAAAGGGGAAAAAAGGAATTACTGTGTTGGATTTTAAATGTTTGGTCCAGAGTCTCTCCTCCTTCTACCAACAGACTCAGAAGTACTACAGTCATCAGCTTTTGTGAGAATCCCAGTAGGAACTGCAGAAAGGGACGTGGCAGCCACTCTTAGCACACAGGCTTGTGTGGTTGTGATGGGGCAGGCTTTTCACTTGAAATAAACACAGTGGGGCTCAGCCTGTCACCACAGAGAAAACGTTTGTTATCCACATGCACAGGTAATTTGTCCAGGCGACAGCTTTTACCTTGGAGAAGCTGAACTGATCTTGTTTACACTGTCAATTGTCGTTCATTCCACAAAAAAAGGACTGGGAAGAAAGGGAGGGTGGTGATAGTTCACTAGGTAACATGGAGGTGCCCATCAGCTGGCTAGGGGAAGAGCATTGCTAGCTGCTTCTGACACAGTAAGAACTTCAATTGTGGAGAGACACAGGGAGACTTCATCTTTTTAAAATCCTCACCTGAGCACACGCTCAACGATTTTAGAGAGAGGGGAAGGGAAGGAGAGAGAGAGGGAGAGAAACATCAATGTGAAAGAGAAACATCGACTGGTTGTTCCTTGCACATGCCCTGGACCAGGGACCAAACCCGCAACCCAGGCACGTGCCCTGACTGGGAATCAAGCCTGAGACCTTTCTGTTTACATGATGATGCTCCAAACAACCGAGCCCCATGGGCCAGGGTGGGGGACTTCCTCTTTACATCCTGATAATTCTTTAAGAAACACACACACATGCACACATGTGCACCCAACCTTAGCAAGTGAAACAAAACAAAACAAAACCCCAACCAAAATAAAAAATGGCCTGATCGGTTCTAGAAAGTTAACTATAGATTCCTGTTCAACTATTTTTATACAGCAAAGCTGGATGTGAAATACAGTTTGAGTGTGTTAGTTGATTAGGTTTATAGATCTCATTCAATGATACAAGTTAGAAAAAACAGCCGAAGCACAGAGTAAAAAGTCAGGCACTCAGGACTGTGAATTGGGTGACATGCATAAAGTATTTCAAGAGAGAATCTCATCAAAAGACAGATAGCTCCCAGGGAAATGATATGGAAAAAGTCTGCAGAAAGCATCTCAAAATAAATGAAGTACTTATTGCTGAAAAATGAGCTTAGATCTCAACCAATACCAGAGTTCAGAATTTACTGCGCCACTCAGGCCTTTTCTCCAGTTCCTTGTCTCTTGTTTCATTGAACAACAAGGGACTCTCCACACTTTCTGTGAAATACAACAAGGAGATTTTTGCAGTAATAAACTCCACACAGGCATGACAAATCCAAGCATGCAAAACGTTTAACATCCCAGTTCCCAGATACTTGAGGGACAAAATCCGATTATGAATTATATGCCACAATAAATAGGGCTCAATGTTTCATAAGGCAATTTATAGTTCATAAAAATGACAAAACATACCTGTCAGACAGAGCGTGGACAGCAGTTCTCTGGGCTGCCTGCTGGAAGAAAGGGCAGAGATGTTTATTTAATATTCTGACTTTTAAACTATGTGCTCAATCAACACTTAAAAAAAGAACCATGTCACACACATTTTTGCCATGTGGCCAAACATTAAACTACTAGTAACATAGTAAGAGCTCTGTCATGTTATGAAACGAACATTCCTGAAGAGTTAACTAAGCCCTTGCAGTGCCCACCTGCCACCAGGGAGTGAGCCTGGAGAGGCGGTAAGTACTGGACTGGTGAGTTTAGACAGGTCTCAGGAGACACCCCCTCCCTGGCCCTGGAGTCAGGACTATTTTATTTGCACTCCCTGAAATCACTTTATCATTGCTTTATTCTACTTTCCTGCAAGAAAAAAGAACTGTTTTAGTTCCTTTACAGCATCTCTCCCAATAAAGGTATAATTTTTGACCCAGTTTTCAGATTTATTGAAAAAGTTACCACAATTGTAAATTGGAACACATACTGGAAATGTGATGATATGAGATTTTGGATTTTTTTAGGCAATGATTTTGTGACAATTTAAAAAACTTTTTAGAGATTCATATCAAAATATTTATGAATACAATTACATGATTTTGGGATTTGCCTTAAAATAACATATTTGGAGGGAAGGGAGACTGGGTAGGCATGCAAATGAAATGATGTCCTTGGATTGGTAACTGTTGAAACTGGGTGATGAACACGTCATTGAGGACTGTTATATTATTCTAGACATTTTTATGTGTTTGAAAATTTTCATAAAACAAAAGAAAAGAATAAATAAAAGACCTCCATTGCTCCATCAGATTTCCCCAGTTTTGGACTTACTTTCCTTCTGTCTATATTTTGCCCATTTGCCTTCCGTGGCTGAGCACTCTGAGGCTTCGGAAGGCAGAGGGCACACTCTGAGCTATGTCTCAGAAGTCATTACTGGGAGGGGACCAGTGCATGGCCTGCGGGACCGAGGCTTATGCAGGGTGTGCCAAGAAGTAAGAAGTGCATAGGTTTGTTTTCACTTTGCCCATTACACATGTCAAATTTACTGTTTACCAGGGACACCAAAACATTTCCCATGTTATTCTTCATTACATTTTGGTAGCAGACAAAACAGACAGAATCTTCAGATTAGAAAAACATGACCCAGAAGAACCATGATTCCTATTACAGAAATGCAATCTACCCCTGGGGATAAATGCATGTCTTAGATCACTCAATCAGTCCAACACTTGCTGAATTCCTATAACATGGAGACTACTGCAAAGATTATGGCTCCAGGAGGGATAAAGAAAAAGCAGAAGAAGTAGTTATAGTCTTGGAGGAGCTAAATCCTTAGGCAGGAAGTCATAATGAAGTCCAGGGATGACTTGAAGAAACTTATGAATTAATATGCAAATAAAAAGATGAAAGGAGGTACAGATATGAGTGACAGCTGATGGCTGGTGGACCATCAGCTTCCCAATCAGTGCCTGGGACTGTTAGTAGGTGCTCAGTAAACATCTGATGAATGAATGTTAAATGAATGAATCAATTAGGGAATCCTTCCCACTATCTGAGCAAAACTTTAAAGACAGGAGTGATGTGTTCAGGGGGAAAGAGGTATTGGTGATACTGGACTACAAGGTAGAGCAAGGGTTTATTCAGACCTCTGTTGTTCTCAACTGGGGCACCCCTTCCCCAAACCCCAAGGGTGTCTGGAATTGAGTAGGGGTGTTCCTGTGTGTTAATAGGGAGGGGGATCACTACTGCCAATTAATGCCTGGGGCCAGAAATGTGAAAGCCTCTCAAGATAAAAAAGGTCCCTTGTACAAGAGGCATGGTCCCCTTAAAATGACAAGGGTGTTTCTGTGGAGAACATTGCAACAAAGAAATGAAAGAAATCTGATAGAAGTGACATAGGGAACATTAGCTTCTGGGCCTGGCAAACGGAACTAAAACTAAATTAATAACAGGAACATCAACAATTTACACAAGTGACATAAGCACACTGATTCAGGAAAAAACATAAAAATCTGTTGAACTTGGCATTGAAAGTCTTCCATTCTGAGAGAGGTTTTACCATTCATTTATGTTGTGGGCCTCAACTGTCAGCTTCCAAACTGCTCTTTCTGTCCTAAATGGGATGAGGAGGGAGTAAGCCAGCCAATGTCCAGGGTACTGAGGACAATGTATGGGGCTATTTCCCCCTCCTTCCTTGGATTCCAGTGAATTAAGGCCCAAGTGCCCTGGCCTTCCCATGTCATATAATTAGTTCAAGAGAGGAAAAATTATCTACAGAGCTATCTCTTTATGAGGACAGCTTAGGGCACAGGTGGCAAACACAAGGCCTATGGGCTGAATTTGGCCCCCCACCTTGTTTTATCTGGCCCAGCGCTTTGTTCTTACCTGGTGGCAGCACCAAGCTCTCACTTTACTGTTAAGGAGTAGTTACATTTATATAGTCCTAAAATTACATTCGGCCCTTTGAAGGCAACCGAGAAGCTGATGTGGCCCCTGGTGAAAATGAGTTTGATACCCCTGCCTTACTTAGGGAATAGAATGAGGCAGGGAAGAGGTCAAAAGTCTAGGGAAGACTTGGATACTGGGAACCCCTCCCATAGGTCGGAGGATGGGTACTCCTTCTCTCTCCTCTCGCTCCTCCCTCTGTGCTCTCCTGGAGGGCCAGCTGAGGAGTGTTCACAAAAAGCACCCAGCAGGTGATGGGCAGTCATCTAGGTCCCTGGGTTTTGTCTTCTAAAAGGTTTCACTTACCGCTCAGCAAGATAGATGGCTTTCATTTTTGGCAGTTACATTTGAAAAGAACCTAACTCTACTCCTGGCTCTCTTTGGTTAAATATACAAAAAGTGTTTTGAACTCCCTAAAGGAAAGATGGCATGCATTATTAATTCAGTCTCAGCAGAAGTCACTGGAGAATGACTGGAGAATGACTCTTCCTGGAAACAAAAATTGTAAGAGATGTGACTGAAAGTTCAACAGACATCTTTAACATGGCATCTAAATTTTCCCCTAGCCAGGGCTGTCAATATTTTAAAAGTCTATTGATGTTTTTCTCTCCTGCCTTCAAATATTCTCGCTGACTTTTGTGATAAGGAAACACAGTGCTTGTTAATGTGCAGCTTATAAGAAAATTATTTAAAATGCAAAAGCAAATAAAAACCAAGAAATTCAGCTGCTGGGCCATCACTGGAGTGGTGCAGCCCAGGTGGTGGTACCTGCTAAGGATAACCTGACAGGATTGCTATTGGCCAAGTTCTCGAATAGAAGCTGAGTTGGAAGCCTGGAGCAGAGGCTGCTTTCCTTTAGCAGGTGGATGTGATGCTGGGTCCAGAAGGTCCTTGTGAGCTTAGATAGTGAGCATCCCACCAGTCATAAACAGTGGCTGTGATCTTCATTCTTTTTTAAAAATATATTTTACTGATTGTGCTAGTACAGTTATCCTATTGCTCCCCCTTTATTCCCCTTCTCCCTGCATACCCCTTCCCACCCACATTCCCTGACCTTAGTTCACGTCCATGGGTTGTACACATAAGTTCTTTGGATTCTCCATTTTCCATACTATTCTTAACTTACCCCTGTCCATTTTCTACCTACCATTTATGCTTCTTACTCTCTGTACCTGGTTTTCCACCATTCCCCTCCCCCACTTCTCTGCTGATAACCCTCCATGTGATCTCCATTTCTGTGATTCTGTTCCTATTCTAGTTGTTTGCTTAGTTCATTTTTGTTTTTGTTTTTTTGGGGTTTGGTTGTTGATAGTTGTGAGTTTGTTGTCATTTTACTATTTGTTTTTTTGATCTTCTTTTTCTTAGATAAGTTCCTTTAACATTTCATACAATAAGGGCTTGGTGGTGATAAACTCCTTTAACATGACCTTATCTGGGAAGCACTTTTTCTGTCCTTTTATTCTAAATCATAGGTTTGCTGGATAGAGTTACCTTGGATGTAGGTCCTTGCCTTTCATGACTTGGAATACTTCTTTCCAGCCCCTTCTTGCCTATAAGGTTTCTTTTGAGAAATCAGCTTATGGGAATGCCTTTGTTGGTAACTGTCTCCTTTTTCTTGCTGCTTTTAAGATTCTCTCCTGATCTTTCATCTTGGGTAATTATGATGTACCTTGGTATGTGCTTCCTTGGGTCCAGCTTCTTTGGGACTCTCTGAGCTTCCTGTATGTCTATTTCCTTTGCCAGATTGGGGAAGTTCTCCTTCATTATGTTTTCAAATAAGTTTTCAATTTCTTGCTCTTCCTCTTCTCCTTCTGGCACCCCTCTGATTCAGATGTTGGAACGTATAAGGTTGTCCCAAAGTATTCTAAGCCTCTCCTCATTGTTTTGAATTCTTGTTTCTTTATTCTGTTCTGGTTGATTATTTATTTCTTCCTTCTGCTCCAAACCATTGATTTGAGTCCCGGTTTCCTTCCCTTCACTGTTGGTTCCCTGTACATTTTCCTTTATTTTACTTTGCATAGTCTTCATTTTTTTCCCTCTATTTTGTGACCATACTCAATCAATTCTGTGAGCATCCTGATTACCAGTGTTTTCAACTGTGCCTCTGACAGGTTGGCTACCTCTTCATTGCTTAAGCTGTATTTTTTTTCTGGAGTTTTGATTTGTTCTTTCATTTGGGCCTTTTTTGTTTGTTTGTTTCGGCACACCTGTTATAGGTAAGGGGCAGAACCTTAGGTATTTGCCAGGGCAGGGCAACCCATGTCACTGTGCTGTGGTGCTTTATATGGGGGCGGGGACCAAGAGGGATCAGTGATGCTTGTTCAGCTCTCTGGGGCTTTCATCCACTTCCCCCACTACCCACAAGCAAATTGGGCCCTTCTAGTGCCGATTCCCAGGTGGGTGGGTTTGTATACATTCTAGGACCCTATGGGTCTCTTCAATGAACACTTCTATGAGGTTGGGAGTGTTTCCCACTGCCTCAACCCCCACAGATTTTTTCAGTCAGAGGTTTTGAGGCTTTATTTCCCCTTGCTGGAACCCTGGGTTGTGTGGTTTGTCTCACTCACTCCTC